TATACGACAGACCCGCTGCAAAAAGTGTACTGAGGTTGAACCTCAGCTCCAATTGATACAATATCTTGGGTCAACGGAGCTTAAGTTTGAACTTCAACTTTAGTAGAAAGTATTCAGTAGAAGGTATGTTATCCACTTCACAAGACAGAGACACGTCGGTCTCGTAACCAGTTTAGATTCATAAGTAGGAGCCAGTACTCTGTATCACACAGAATTCTTGTGACTTCATATAAGAATTCACGTATGCGTTCGTAATTACAATACGGTAATCTTCTTTTATAAACTCCCACACCGCATACAGAAGTTACATAAATGTACCTTCATGCAATGGCTAAGTGTAGTTCATTACAACGACAGGATGCCCAATTAGATCAGTATTATTGCTGGTAAAACAATTTGAAAAAGTGTAATCTTACTTTGCCTTCGTCTTAATGTTGCCGTAGTTAGGTCGTCGTAATTTGCTCTGCATACTAAATATCTAATCACTCTGCCATAATCACGTACGGAGTAGTAATGATTATGAATCGAGAAGACGTGAGCTCTCCCTGAATGCCCACTCTGAACGTGTGACTGAACTTGGTTCTGTGAAGGAGTCCAACCTTAGATCGAGAGAGTGGAGCCAACCTCACCTTAACCTTAGGCTAGTCTAAGCTCATTTTTGATGTTTAGGCTTCTTGAGCAGTGAATAGCGAATACATAGTAAATATATTGGAGATGTACTTTATAAGCTATTAACTCCTCTAGTCTATTGCTTGTTTATTCCTGAGAGGCTGTTTCGCTAGTTTTCGTCAATCGGAAACCGCATCATATTTTACCTTGAATAATGCTCATTCGAACTTGATTCAGAACTCAAGAAAAACGCTATCTTCGGATGTGCTGTAAACGGATGTAACATCGCATGATGTGTTACCGGTATTACCGGTCAACATCAATTGGTCGCGATGCTCTCTTAACAACAACTTTCAGTATGAAAATAATTATATCGTATGCATGTCACAATAGACATAGAAGTGCAACATCATAGTTCAACAGTATGTAGCAGCGTCATCTCGACACTCCCAGTGGCAATTAATGATGTTTGTTGCTCATTGGCACTGGCTATCTCTTGGTATCAGCTATCTCGCGCATAAACTCAAACATCTTGGCTCTAAGTGATTCGTTAACACATTTTACACGCTCGGATAAATACAACGATTGTTTTCACTTTGTTACAATATTTGACATACGACAAGGCTTCACTATTTCAAATTTTATACAATTACAAATACTTCATCCGTTCCAAGCAACTGTGTTGACGACAACCTCAATTCTGATGCGCACAGATTGTCCACACACTTGGCAGCTTGTTTTCCGAATCGCTTGAACACTTCGTCGATATTCAGAGTCTGTTTGATCGATCATGTTTTTGCTGGCCTGTCGTGGCCAATCTTTCAGTCGTAATAAAGGCCTGTCTTGTCCAGCTCCTTCATCTTGAATTCATTCTTGACGTGGTTGATGTCCTTGCCTGTTCTGGCTACTGCAGTAATCACATCCCCCCTAAAGATTTGAGATCTCTCGACATAAGTACACCAACCCCTTGGCAGATCTTTAGATCATTCCTTACTATGATACAATATAATGTCTTGCCCCAGACTTCTGCTTGTGTGTTTAATCCCGTAAATATTCTTGACAGTCGACACACGTTTATCTGAGCATTATCAACACCAAACGGATTTCCACATATACGTTGTCTGTTAGCACACTGTTGAGAAAGGCAGAGTCGTCATCCAGCTGTATCATTTGATAGCCTCACTCGAAACAAGTTAGAAATATTAGCCGGGTCAAACCCATATTGGCAAACAGAAATTCGTACTGCTGCCTGAAACTCTCCATGCTAGTTCGAGGCTTTTACCATACGAAAGCGCTATTTTGATCACACTTCTTGAAAAAGGGAGCTGTTGTGATTTATTTGTTCGACTAGTACTCCCTCTTGATTTTGATGGTTATGTTTGATTCTGATCGTTGGACCAAAGCTCTTTCTTTATGGTTTCGTCCCGTAGTAACTAAAAATCACATGATTCTCTTCATCAATTTCTCTTCTTACTATGATAGTCACTTTTGACTTCATTGCTTGTGAGTCGAAAATACCAATTAATTCACAATCATTATACCTCACAGAGCGGGTCATTACGGCCTGGCATTTTACGTCGGAGACGTGATAACTTTCAACATTTTTCGCATAGCCAGGAAACACATTTGTCGAGCTTGAAATCCAGCTTTGTTCCCTTTGCATCGCTGAAATGGCTGAAAATGTGCGTCCTGAATACGCATATTGAAGACCTCTTGTTAAACACTAAGTCATACGGCGCGAGGTTCGGCTGGGCTGTTTCGTCGAGCGATATATCAATCAACCGCTGCATTCCTCGTTTCCACCCTCCTCTCAGGAGAAAACATTTCATACTTGAGCATACCGGGCTATTTTCAGTCGCAGTCCAGCTCATGCGCTCCACCACTCCACACTTCGGGCAATTATACGGAACGGAAGGCTGGTAAACAATGCCGCTCCGACAACATATGTCTACCATCGTCTCGCTCGCTTAATGCCCCGTTCGGATCGATAACACCCGGAAGAACACAACCAAAATTGTTCTCGGAATGCGTCGTGCTATCTTCGAATATTTAGCCTTCTCTTGCTTTTGATCAATAAAATAAAAAAGTATAAAATCATTCACAGAGTGAGAATATTTCATACTTCTCTTCGACGAAATCCGCATCGGTCCCACGTTTAAACGCGCGCCAT